CTGATTAGAAGGTAATTAGTTAATAGGACTAGTTTTTGTTGTTGTTTATTCTAGGATTCAAGAAGGATTCATAAAACATCACTGCATAGTAATGCAGCTATTACAATGATCTATTTGGGGAAAAATGTGCACCTATCTAATGATGACCCAGACTTCCGAGATGAAATAAAGGTTTATCAGCAGCACTGTGGTGGGGAAAACCTTTGTGTATACAAAGGCAATCTACTTGAAAAAGGTACACATAAAACATGATTTTTTTTTAATTGCTTGGGGTTGTTGCTATAGGTAAGCTGTTGTTGCTATAATATCAAAATAACTTCAATCACTTTATGAAAGTATGCATATCCAGGGACTTATAAACCAGCTGCCTAAAAGTAAATCTAGATTTACTGCTTCATGATTGAAACTGAAGCAGTAATTACTCTTGCAGATTGTGGAAGAAAGAATTTGGAGTGATTTAACCTGGTACCAGATTAATTCTGGAATAGAGATATATGATCATTAAAATGTTGCATGAATAAGCTGTCCCCCAAATTACAAGTTAACTATTTGGCTTGCCATAGTGAATTATATCATACGTTATTCTAAGAGAAAAATACCAGATTGGCAATTTGTTCTTTAGAGGTATATTGAGATAAAAATCACAAATCCAATAAACTCCAGGGCAAATCACACCTAAATAACTTGGTGCAGAAATTTGGCTAAATGGCTTTCTGCTTTCATTTGATCATAAATCTGTGTTTGTCAATATAAGATAATTTTAATACCCAATATTAAAAGTATCTTTTAATTTCACATATTGTACTATAATGTTTTTCTTCCGTATTCAGTTCAGAGGAGCAGCAATTAAAAGACAGAGTGATTACAGGACTATGTTTGCTACTTCCTTGCTTAAGGAAGAAAGCGATAGAAAGTTTCTGTTTAGAAAGTAATACTATTTAACTAATTAAAAGAAATATTTGTATTTGGATAATTGATATATATTGACTTAGGAATTAAGGGACATGTTGGGGACGAATATGAAATTTTTACTTTTGGCCTTTCTGATTTCCCTCATCAATCAAAAATGGTAACTATTAGTTAAAATACTTTCAAGTCCTTAAAGAAAAACTATAACTACATATTTAGGAATTACATATTAAACTTCCCAACATAAAAAAAGAGTAAATACTTGCATGTTAGTTTTAATTTAATGTAAAACAGAATATGATACTCAATTATGCTAGAAACTCTTTTTCCCATTTTATATATTTGTTGGAAATGTAATTTTTGTCTCATTTTGCCATAGTATTTCAAAGTTTATATTCTTTCCGTTTTGTAGATGAGGAAAATGAGAGGAGTCCAGAGGTGGAGTGGCTCCCAGGGTTGCATGTCCAGCTCCGGGCAGAATCAAGAGCAGACCCTGCCCCTGACTAGGTGCAAGGCCCTAGTTCTATGTAGCCCCAGTTAACTATTCTCAGTACCAAAGAGATTCATACATGTTTGTAATATGAGGGGTGTGAAACCCCTAATAACAGTGGCACAGATACATACTCTTATTTTCATAAAGTATGACTTTCAGCTATTAAGAGAATTGCTGAAATTAACTATTGTCTAAAATTGGAATTAATGTAATGAAAATGTCCCTGGGCCTTAGATCTCATTTCATTCAACAAAATGCATATATAATATTTATTTGACTGCTGGAAAATGGGGTGGATACAAATGAAAAAAGAATGAGGCTTAGCTGAATGATTCTCTGGTAGACGATTTACACTGTGTGATGAAAGTGCATAACCAAAGGTTATGGGAAAAAGGGTGTTACTTGGCTCAGTGTTATTTTGCATACATGTCTATCTTGGGATTTTTTTGTTATGGCATTAGACAGTCTTGAATAATGGAATGGAATGGGGACTTAAATAATTGAGTTCTGTCCATACAAAAATTTTGTCTCAGCTTGCCCTTGATTGCCAGGAAAGTAATTAATTGTTCAAAATTAAAAAGTTGGGTAGCTCAGAGTTGACTTGTGGTTCAGCAATCTTAGCAATTCAGCCAAACTGAAAAGAATCTGCCCTTTTTACAAATCAGAGCTTTTCATGATTCAGTGAAACGTGAATAGGTTTTTAGAGGTTCCTGCTAAAAAAAGAAAAAAGTCATTTACCATTATGCTTGGAGCAGTAAACTCATTAAAATGCACCAGTTGTTAGTTTCTCTTG